GATAATGATGTTGGTATTGACGATGACGCTCCATTCAGCCACACCCGTCTCCGCCGGCCCCGCATTTTTCCTCTTTCTCGCATGTCGTTGACCTCCCTTTTTCTGTGTATACATGACCTCCGCCTCGGTGCTGTTGTCCACTTGCACCGCGTTTTCTTGCCCCTTCTCTCCTTAAATCCTCTACTTTCTTGACGTATTTCTCTGCGTGTGTATCTGGAGGTGTGTCGCCCTATGAAGATGTAAATTTTACCACACGTACACGCCTCGTCGTGTCGCTTTGCTCTATCCTTTTTCTCTGTGTGTCCTTTCCTCTTTCACATTTATTCATTTTGTTTTATTTTTCATCACCTTCCTCCCTCATGTTCGTTGGTTTGTTGGTTTTTGGTTTCACTGGTGACGAAAATACACGTGCTTAGGTACCGACGCGACCGATAAATTAACCTCGTTCCATCGCTCCATCTCACCATCTTCCGCATAAGGTCTAAGCAGCCGCACCTTTTCAAGCACTGGCGATCCAAAATCCGTGCCTTTGCCCTTCTCTCCTCTTCATGTGTGTGCGTATGATAACGGTAAATGTTTTTTTTTTCGCCTCATTTTCAGTGAAACTGCGAGTTCTCTAAACAAAACCTTTTGCATTCACAGGAATACAGGTCCTCCCCCTTCTATATGCTAACCATTCGCCGTTGTTATTTTTTGACAAGAAAACTATTCACGTTACCTACGTACACGATAAGGAGCACAAACTGTGGTTGCACACACACGCACACATATATGGCTGCCACTCTTTCACACTGCCCAATTTTCAGTGCAATAAGATTCTACTTTTCTCTCCTTCTTGGCCCTTTTGAACCCCTGCCTGTGTGTGTGTGTGCTCTTAACAGAACTTCTGGTGATTGTTGTTGTAGTGATGATCTTAAAAGTGGGGAGGAGAAAAGCGGGAGAGATCTACAGTTTCTTTCTTAAATCGTTTATCTCTTCCCCCTCCTCTTCGTTGCTGCCTCCGCCGCCTCCACACTGCCAATGTCACCAGCACCTTTGATGTTTCTGCATTTTGCTCTATCTTTAACTCACTTTCACTGTAAAATGTCCTGCAGCAAGGAAAACTGCGCTAGATCCTCTTTCTCTTGGTAAACCTAATCCTCTAATAAGCTGTTGACCCAAAAAAACAACGTACGCGCGCGTTCGTTGTGCTTTTTTTCCTCAATGGCTTTGCCCTCGTTGTGATTTTATGGTGGATGGAGCAGCGCGAGGTAGATTTGGAAAAGAGTTCTCACCCAAACGGTTTTCGCCCGTCTTCTGCCACGCCTACTGTCCGCTCGTCAAGGATTTGGCTGCACGATATTTATTATCTCAGGTGTTTGTCTCTGAATAGGAAGCTGCCTTAAGGCGTCGATGTTTACAGATGGTATTTTTAAGCGGGTTTCTTTCTATTCTGGAATGGATCGGTTATAGGTCTCTTATATAATCAGGAAATCGTGTTTTGATTATTTGAAAGCTGTTTTTTTATGCCATGATACTTCACCTGCTTGTGTTGAATCAAGTTTTAAGGGTATAACTTCATAACCTAACCGATAGGGCTCGGTATAATTGATAGGGTTGGGGATCTTGATGCTTTCCAAACTGAAGAATCGTAGCAAAGGTGAGTGACACCCGGTTAACTGACGGTAAGTGGTTCCTTGGGTGCATTTCGTGGGTGGGTAAGTCAATCTGTTTTGCTCATGTTTCATAAAACTTCTTCGAAAAAAGGTTTTACTCGAGAAGCTTCTGGAGATGTTGTTGACTGAGTTGTTTCCTTGCTTCACTTGCATGGCCCCTATTACGGTGATATCGGGAAAGGCATTTATCACCTGATCTCGATCCTTTTACTTAGTATTTCTAATAGTAGTTTTATCCAATAGCTTCAGATCCACCGAGGGGTGGGATGCCCTTTGATGCCCAATATAATCCAGTTCTCATTACTTATGCTTTTTATGAGTCAGCTTGCGTATCCATGTTATTGTGTCTAGTTTGCATTTGAGGAAATGTATCACATTAAAGCGATGGTCGTAGGCTCTGTGCATTTCCCTTCGTATGCGCTTATCACAGCAGAGCCAATGAATTGATGCGCTGTCTTGTTACTGAGACATTTATGGTTTCAAGTGAGCAGTTTAGTGTTCACTAACTTTGCAATCCATTCTTAGGTTAGAAGCTTTGAAGGAAGCTGATACGAATGGAGCTTCATAGCCACTTATGGGGTGGAAGTACATTTCCTTGTTCTACTGTCCTTAATGCAGATTGTAACAGTTGTTGCTTGTTTTATACGTATATTTTCAGCCACTTTCCTGGTGTACCTTTTATTTTTTTTCCCGTTTACTGACCTCTAAAATTGAATATGAATTAAAGAAGAATTCACTTAATATCGCAGATGTGTATCTACTTGTCTATAGACTTGAAATAGCTGAACCAGGAATGGGGATTCCATTATCACCCAACATAAACGTAAAGTTGATTTCATGTTGTGATCCGTGTTTTCTATCTTGCCATCAGTGCACCTTACTGCGACACGAAGTTTCTTTTAAATCGTTGCATGAGGTAGTTCCTTATTAGGACGGTGGCGTCTTCATTCTCATATTACATGATCAAGAGTCTGTTCATCGAAGCCAGAATGGGGAAGGAGGTAGTGTGTGGTCCTCTTTGGGGTGCGTTCCATATTGCAGTCGGTGGATCTCCCGTTTTGAAACTGTGAAGCAGCCTTTGGAGTGAGAAAAGTGGGTTTTTGTAGTTCAGGATTGTTTCGTGCTAAGCAAATCCCCCTCCACTACACTCACTAAAAGC